AACACCCAGTAAATTACAAAATTATTGTAAATGTAAATAAAAAACAATACTGAAATTAGTATAAAATCTTCAAGAGACAAGTTAAACAATAGTGGCTTTTCCTGGAACAGCCAGTCTCTGTCTATTGATTGCTCCAGTAAACAGCAGCTAATTCTTGAACTGGGTTTTTGAGTTCTAGGCAGACACTATCATTTCTGCAGATTTGGTCTGTTTAATCCAGAGTCTGTAAGTTCTGGGACTATTAATTTTATGTTTTTGATATATATATATATATATATATATATATATATATATAAGATAAGCCAGCATTACCCTGAAGATCCATTTAGGTGAAACCTAGGTAGGTTTACCTGGCTCCTTAGGATTATCTTAGGTTTTGCTCTACTTAGTGTATTGAGCAGGTTATGTAGTTGTCTTTTTACTCATTTTTGGTTTTTCTTTGGAATTGGAACTTGAACACTGGATGATTGTTTTTGCCTTGGTTTAATGTTCTTGGTTCTTTCTTTTTTTATTCCCCATTTTTCCTCGGGTACCGATTTGTTCTACTGCAAGTTGAGCTATCCAAGTTTGTTCCAAATGAGTACTACCATATATATATATATATATATATATATATATATATATATATATATTTTGTCTGTTTTTTTCTGTGACAAAAAAAATAAAATTGTATCTAATAGAGATGTATTTAATGATCAATTACCATTGTTTTCACTGACCATGTATCCTCTGTCAACAAGTTTTTTAATGCCATGTGTGTATATAATTCCGTAGATTTTGACCTGGAATAAGAATCTAAATGATTATAAATTTTTTCTCTTGAACTTAGTGAAATTCATCAAAACCAATTAAACAGATAGTCATCAGAAGTCATAATATCAAGGGAATATAGTGGATGAGTCATTTTTTCAGGCAAGTTCTTCATGAAATCCTCATTATTTATATATATATATATATATATATATATATATATATATATATATATATAGAGAGAGAGAGAGAGATAGATAGATAAGGATTAGGAATAACATGGACATCGCATGTGATCAAAGACAAAGTTTTAAGGGAAACAAGAACATAGAAACTGATATTTATAATGAAAATTAAAGACAGGTAAAATTTCTTAAATGAATGATCAGGTCAGCGGCCATGGATAATTTAACACTCACAGAATATACCATTTGTACCAAATACTAGTTTCATTTAGACTATTTGTGCCAGTGTGAATTTTTGACTTAAAATAACTAGAAATAAAAGTCCAATTTTAATAAACTGGAGTAAAACCTTGTGCTAGGCAGAAAATTATTTGTAAAAATTATGAATGTGAAATAAGCAATGTACTGGGGTGAAGATGAAGGAAATAATTTGGGTCACTGCTTGTATTTGGTAAACCAAAACACTGAAGGTGAGAGAAGTTGGAGGAAACAGAGAGTAACTTATTTTACTAGTATGCATGAATGAATGGCAGAATGAAAACATAGGTGTGGAATGTCATAAAAGGATATGGCACAGAAAATAAAATATAATGTGAGGGAAAATAAAAACTCAGAAAATGTACATATATATATATATATATATATATATATATATATATATATATATATATATATATGTGTGTGTGTATATATATATATATATACACACACACACACACACAGACAGATGATGTACCCCACTGTTTTATATACAACATGGATGTTTGGATACAAGTACAGAAATTGCTGAGTCACATTTAAATTCTCATCTCAACTGTTTCATTCAATTTACATTAATGCCCTTGGAAAAGGCATGCAACCATCTTCCTCTGACTGCTGCTTACAGAGGTTTAAGACGACATCATATTGAAATATAATCACCTGTTAAGCACCACCCAACCAGGTTAATACATAGATGGGTGACTGCTTAGGAATACCAGATGCTCTAAGGTTGAATGTGCAGTTGGTGTAAGGAATAATGGTTTGTAATTGTGAATCAGAGAGCAGAGTTCCAATTCCCATTGGGTCCATTATATTCTCCAACATGTAAATATCTTGGAGATAGGAATGAATCCACCTCTTCTCCCATTAGGTAGGAGTGAATTACTAATATACTTAATAAACCATTATCTGAAACAAAAAATAAAAAATAGCATGCAAAGGGTTGATAAGTTGTAGAAAATGTATGAATCAATCAATCAATATAGCTTAAATAGCAGAACAGACTAGCAGCCATCCAGAACAAATGAGCCTAATCTTAGAGAATTGAAACCTGTGGAGCTATTTGGGGACTTTATGGCATATTGGGTATCATTTCTCTCTCATCAGTTCAGAAGTGTGTGGCTGGTTCTGCACAAGCTTTCAGCTGTGTGAGTAATCTAGCAGTTCAATTCTAAACTAAATTGTGTAAGCCATCATATCTTAAAATCACCACGATACTTCTAGGTAAGGTATGAAGAAGAGAAAATTGATTGTGAAGGTTTTCTGGTTTATTTTTTTTTTTCACTTCAGAGTTCATTACAAATAACCAGTTTTAAAAAATATACACACACAAGACATTTTTCATGTTTATACATTCTTTTTATAGATACAAATATTTAAGTAAATGCTCTATTTATAATAAACAGTATTAACATTTACCGGCCTGAATGTTCTAGAAATTTTCATAGAAAATATGCATCTG